TTTTCATCTAGGCTCTAATATAAAGCAAATTAGTTGGTTGGCTATTTTTTAGCTGTCTAGAAAGTGACAAGTTGATCACATAAAAACTAAAATGATAAATCCAAATTGGCTACATTTATATTGTTACTGAGTGAAAGCAATTAGCTCTAACTTTACAATGGAGTACAAGACTGACAAAGACCGTGAAAAGCCCCACCCATGCTGTCCAAGTGGTCTGGATCTATTTTCCTTCCTTTTTTTTTTTTTTTTCATTCTACCCATCACCCTTTTATTGTGAGTTTGAAAGATCGTACTTACTTTCTTGAAAGACTTCAAGTCCTGCCTGGGATTCATTTTCTGGTCAATATAGGCAGTTGAGAATGCCATTTCAAAAGCACTGAGAATGCTCAGTGTTTCTCATTCTTTTCACTGACCTTTAAAGAATAATCACAAACTTGACATTCCCTAGAAAGCTTATGCTATACCATGATTTACTCTTTTATTTGACAAACATATGCAGAAAATCTAATCTTGGTGAGTGACTTAGCGCTCACTTACAAGAGCTTTTTCTTGGACTTTTTTTTTTTTTTTTGGAGAGGTTTTTGCTATAGGGTGTGTGCGCTCGTCAGACAGACAGAGACATAGAGACAGAAAGCGAGAAATCACTTCCCAGGGGGATGGCCACGCCACAATCCCTTCTCCTCCATTCTCCTCCCGGGATCTTGAGCATGCACGCACACACACCCTGCATGAGTTTTAAGCCACTGGGTCCAGGACTTGAACCGTGGTCGACTACATAGGAGTCCAGGGACATAGCCATAACACTAACTGCTGGTCTCTTCTTGGGCTTTTTGTAATTGAAAGGAATACTCAGTAGTGTCAATTCTAGAATACATGACAGAAATAGATTCTTTGGTTAAGTAAGCATGAACTTCTGGCACACCTCTAGACTAGACATGGGAACCTAATAAAGGATCATTTCATGAGTTAGCACATTTTCCACATATTCTGTGTATAGAAGTAGAAACTTGGCCTAAATGAATTAGGAATGACAAGTACAAATTACCATGAAGGAAGGGAATGTGTGTTTATATATGTGTGTGTGTGTATAAAAGTAATATATTGGGAACCAGCAGTTAGTGTAATGGCTATGTCGCTGGACTCCCACGTAGTCGACCGTGGTTATCTGATTTCTAGTGGATAAAATAGACAAAAAATAAAAAACATATTTCAGATAGCAACAGACCATTTTTTTTTAAGACCAATTTTTGCTATAGGGCACATGTGTTCACTGGAGACACAGAGAGACAGAGACAGAAAGTAGAAATCACCCCCTGGGGGGTAGCCAGGCCACAATACCCACAATACCATCTCCATTCTTCTTTCAGATTTGGAACATGTATGTACACATGCCCAGCATGAGTTTGAAGCTGACAGGTCCAGGACTCTAACCACAGTCGGCCATGTGGAGTCCAGCCACATAACCATTACACCATCTGCTGGTCCCCCAGAGGGTGAATGTTTAATTCTATGTTATAACATTGAGAAGGTAATTTGAGTGGGTGACATGGACAATTGCACTGCTGAAGTGAATCTGGACCCAAATGGAAGCGCCTGGGGTTCAGTTCCTTGATTGACCTACACATGCTACATTTCTGTCTGTGATCCCGTCTGGCTAGCAAAGCCACGGGAAGGGGGAGAAATCATGGTGTGAGATCTATGGAGGGTACTTGTGTGTGTGTGTGTGTGTCTCATACAAGAAATAAACTTAAAAAGTTAATTTGATTGTCTGCATGAATAGGACAAGAAAAGATATATAGAGCTAAAAACTGCTTCTCTGGACCACATGCTTTCCAAATGATAGAAATGTAGTAATACAGGTCAATAGGCACTCATCTACTTCCCCTCCTCTCACATTTCCTTTTGTGGGGAGGCTCTGAAGGACAGAAGAAATCAAAATTGGACAGATGAGGGAACCAGCAGTTAGCGTAATGGCTATGTCACTGGACTCCCACGTAGTCGACCGCGGTTCGCGTCCCGGACCCGGTGGCTTAAAAAACTCACGCCGGGCGCGTGTGCGTGCGTGCCCAAGATCCCGGGAGGAGAATGGAGGAGAAGGGATTGCGGCGTGACCATCCCCCCCTGGGGGGTGATTTCTCGCTTTCTGTCTCTATGTCTCTCTCTGTCTGTCTGGCAAGCACACGTGCCCTATAGTGAAAAAAAAAAACCTCTCAAAAAAAAAAAATTGGACAGATGAAATGAAAAGAAGGGAAAATAAAAGAAGGCCAGCTGGTCTGTGGGCTGATCTAACTACCCATGGTTCCCGAAGAGCCAGCTATGTTAATATGTGACATCCATAAATGGTGCTATGAAGCATAGAGGGAAACGTGTTCTTTTAAAAAAAACACAGTAGGGGCTGTGTCATCAAATGGAATTATTTCTGATAGCTAAGACGTTGTTGACTAGGGAGACACCGAATGTCAGATGAGTGACAGCCCTGACTGAGAGGAACGTGAGTCCTGCTCCAAAGCTGCGAATCCCACAGCAGTCTAACCTCCAGTATTTCTCCCTCTCCCCTCTTCTTGCCTTTCACCAGCTCAGTCCCAAATCCTTTGGTACTCAAACCCACACATATAGCTGTAAACCTGTTCAACTGTGTTTTTTTCTTCTCCTTATGCTGACATTAGCTTGTTTTCTCCCAGTTCTGGGTTTCATTTACATGTTTTATTGAATAAAACATGAGCAAAGTAAAACTGATTTACCTGTGGGTTATGTAAAATGAAGCAAATTGGAAATCAATGAGCCAGAAATATTTAGAAATGAAATCATCTTAAGGGCTAGATTTGTAACACACTATTCAGAAACTTTGAGTGTATCACAAAATTGGGGGTCACAACACAGATTAAATATTTTTCCAGAAATCAGAATGCTTTGATGGACTTTATGGATGATTTGGTCCAGTTGTTCTCAGTCTTTCAGGGTCAAAGATCCTTGGGAACCTCAAGAAAGACAAGGACATTCTTTTTTAAGAGGATTTTGCCTTAGGACACATGTGCTTGTGGGGAGGGGAGACAGAAATACAGAGACAGAGACAGTGATAAGAAAAGTAAGAACTCAACCACCAGGGGGATGGCCACTTCCCAATCCTCCATTCTTTCGGGATCTTAGGCATGCACATGTATATGCTCAGCCTGAGTTTCAGCCCTCAGGTCTGGGACTCGAACCACTGTCAGCCATGCGGGGGTCCAGCAACGTAACTACTATACCATCTGCTCACCCAAGGGCATGCTATTTTTTAAATTATTTTGCTAAAGAGCACCTGCACTCACTGGAGAGAGGACCCCTTTACTTCTCCACTCCCTGATTAATTTGTGAAAGACTAGGTCAATTCTAAGTTTGAGGAAAGTTTATAACATGACCAGGCCTCCTGACCCCCAGTCCAACTACTTTCTATCATGCCATAAGCTCTATACAGTGCTCTGAGATAAGGAAGATGGATCATTTTTCCCCTTATGGTTTTTATTCTTTTTTTAAAGACTCATTTTATTTAATTTTATTATTGCCTTTTTTTTTTTTAATTTGACCAAAGAGAGACAGACAGACAGAAAAGGTGAGAAAGCAAGCCACCAGAGTCAAGACTTGAACCATGGTTGGTCATGTGGGAGTCCACCACATTCTTAATGGGATTAAATAACATAACCCCCAAATATATTCTTTTTGGAAACTCACAATGACCTTATTTGGGAAAAGGGTTTTAGTAGGTGTAATTGGTTAAATTACAGTCATGTCATTGTGAATTAGGGTGAACTCTAAATCCAGTGATTGGTATTCTTAAGAAAAAGCCATGTAAAGATGCAGACACACACAGGAAAGAAGGCCATCTGATGTCTGTCACTGTGAACTGGCATGATATTTATAGATTGGAGAGGAAGAGATTGGAATGATACAGCTGCAAGCCGTGGAACACTGAGGCTCCTTGGCAACCACCAGAAACCCAGACAGATGCACAGGAAAGATTCTTCCTAAGAATATCCAGAAGGGACAAACTCTGTTCACTCTTTGATTTTGGACTTCTGGCCTCCAGAACTGTGAGAAAATAATTTTCTATTGTTTTGAGCAGTTCAGTTGTTAGTAATTTATTATGACAGCCCCAGGAAATTAATACAGTGGTTTACTGCTATTTGTTTATAGATTTTATTAATATTGTTTTTAAAAGCCTTCACATGCTATTCCCATCACTGACCCACTTGGTCTCTTTCCATTTCCTTTTCAGAAGAGCTGACCTAGGTATTAATACCAAACATACCAAAGCCCTTCCATGTTCTTCTACATTTTCTTCATGAGTAGTGATGAGTTATGCTGAGAAAAATTCTTGAACCTACATTTGTACATTGCCCTTGTTGCTTTTCAAAAATGCACCATGCTTCCCATGCTGGGAAGGGGTAGTTTAAAAACCCAGTGAAGACTTGAAAAGAAGTTCCATTTAAAGTATCTAGTAAAATGGAAGTTTGCTTCATGCAAACAATGCAGAAATCTTGGAAGATAATGCTGTTGACTTCCCGTATTTTTCGACTCAGGAAGATAAGTCGGGCTTTAACAAGGATGAGCTATCTGAAAACAACTGCCCATAGAGGCTTTCCGCAATACTGTAAGAAAAGTGAACTGGCTTAAATCAAACTTTCCAGTTATTTACAAAGTACACTTACCAGCAATTGTGAACTGCCCAAGTTCCTAGAACCCTAGATTGACCTTTTCATGGAGATAATGTTTTAATACTTCTATGAGAGTATTTTCAGAAATTTATCAACTTGCCCTCAGCAAATTGTGTGCTTGAGGAGATGGGCTACTTGGGCTTTGAGAAATTTTCAGTGCCAAGTCATTGTGAGAATCAGTCTGGATACATGGTCTGAAATAGTATTTCCAGTTCTGCCTATTTTAATTTCCAAGAACTACTTAGAAATACACCCTTGAGTTTATTAGGAAGGAGTGATTCTTTAATACCTTTGGGACTTGTGCCTTACCTTTAGTCCTCACATTGAGCTAGCTTTGAGTTTTGGAGTCCTTTCTGATTTCCTGATAGATTTGCTGCAAATACTGGTCATTCTGGGCTTCTATTTCTTCACTAGCAAAATGGGAAAAAATAATACATCAATGATTTGTGAACATGGGAGTATACCCATTGGGTTTTTTAAGCCCCCTACAAATTGATAGGACAAAAAGAGAAAAAGACTTGGCCCTTTGAAAGAGCATTCCATCTCCTTAAAGGGATATAAACCGATGAGTTTAATGAAAAGGTTATAAAAAGAGTTGGAGTTGTCATATATGGACCTAAGAAAATAACACAGGAATCTGGGGGAACTGCATTGAAAACTCAACTGTGCCTTGCTTAGTCCTGTAGGAAAGGTGGTGAGGAAATGCAGTTCAACCCAAAGTAGTTTAACACATACAATGCCAGGTGGAGAAGGTCACAGGCAGTAAAATTAGAAGAATGAGTAGGTGACTTTTGGGGAAATATATATATATAAAAGCATAAATCTAAGAAAAACATGGAACAGAGAAAAGGCTCTGAAATGAATGACAGATTATCAGCCCAAAAGCTAAGCTTGTTAGGTCTCAGCAGGTGTCTTGAATGTTCAGTGATGACAGTCTTGAGGACAGATGTACGTCAGGCTGGAGAGTGGAGACAGTAAGATGGGATTTCTTCAAGGCAGACCATGGTTTAAATCTCATGTTTGTGGTCCATTAACTGCAATCACAGGCAAGTTACTTTGTTTTTCTGAGTCTGGTTTATAAAATGCCAGATGATAACTGTCTTTCAGGACTGTTGTATTTTAGATAATATGTGCATCTAGGTCCTAAGCAGACTGTAATGAGTAAGGGTTATTAATTGGCCTACTGAGGAACTAAAGAGAGGGATAATTAGGAAAAGGTAAGTTCTATTTTACCTCCAGCTCGGACCTCCAAGGGATCAGGTGATAAGAATGGTACTAAGTCAAACTGAAGGCCCCTGGGTCACCGTACTTACATGAATCCTTTCCAGTATCTAGCTGCTTCCTGCAATAGTCTCACATCTATTAAAACTGTGTTGTTTAATACAGTAGGACATGTAGTTATTTCAATTTAAACTAAAATTAAATTACACTTCTTTAGTTTCAGTAGCTGTGTTTCAATACTCAATAGTCTCATGTTCAGCTGTCTATTTACACATTTAATCACTGCATAGTGGACACATGCCTAGTGACTACCATATTGGATAGTACACAAATACACGCATATATAGCTAAATAGATTATGTATATATACATATATCCATGTGTGTATGTGCGTTTCTGTCACCGTAGGAAGTTCTATTACCTGCACATATTTGACTATAGTGGATTATGTGGTGAAAGGTATAACCCCAGGAGTCAGGAATATGGGAGAAGAGTAGGGAGATAAGCTGAAATAGGAAGATAAGGCTTCTGCTGAGGGAAGCTCCACTCTTTTATTAAAGAGTGTGTGTGCGTGCGTGTGTGTGGGGGGTAGTTGGCAGGTAGCATGGTGGTTAAGGGCACTGTACTCCCACATGGTCAACCATGGTTCAAACCGATGAGTTTAATGAAAAGGTTATAAAAAGAGTTGGAGTTGTCATATATGGACCTAAGAAAATAACACAGGAATCTGGGGGAACTGCATTGAAAACTCAACTGTGCCTTGCTTAGTCCTGTAGGAAAGGTGGTGAGGAAATGCAGTTCAACCCAAAGTAGTTTAACACATACAATGCCAGGTGGAGAAGGTCACAGGCAGTAAAATTAGAAGAATGAGTAGGTGACTTTTGGGGAAATATATATATATAAAAGCATAAATCTAAGAAAAACATGGAACAGAGAAAAGGCTCTGAAATGAATGACAGATTATCAGCCCAAAAGCTAAGCTTGTTAGGTCTCAGCAGGTGTCTTGAATGTTCAGTGATGACAGTCTTGAGGACAGATGTACGTCAGGCTGGAGAGTGGAGACAGTAAGATGGGATTTCTTCAAGGCAGACCATGGTTTAAATCTCATGTTTGTGGTCCATTAACTGCAATCACAGGCAAGTTACTTTGTTTTTCTGAGTCTGGTTTATAAAATGCCAGATGATAACTGTCTTTCAGGACTGTTGTATTTTAGATAATATGTGCATCTAGGTCCTAAGCAGACTGTAATGAGTAAGGGTTATTAATTGGCCTACTGAGGAACTAAAGAGAGGGATAATTAGGAAAAGGTAAGTTCTATTTTACCTCCAGCTCGGACCTCCAAGGGATCAGGTGATAAGAATGGTACTAAGTCAAACTGAAGGCCCCTGGGTCACCGTACTTACATGAATCCTTTCCAGTATCTAGCTGCTTCCTGCAATAGTCTCACATCTATTAAAACTGTGTTGTTTAATACAGTAGGACATGTAGTTATTTCAATTTAAACTAAAATTAAATTACACTTCTTTAGTTTCAGTAGCTGTGTTTCAATACTCAATAGTCTCATGTTCAGCTGTCTATTTACACATTTAATCACTGCATAGTGGACACATGCCTAGTGACTACCATATTGGATAGTACACAAATACACGCATATATAGCTAAATAGATTATGTATATATACATATATCCATGTGTGTATGTGCGTTTCTGTCACCGTAGGAAGTTCTATTACCTGCACATATTTGACTATAGTGGATTATGTGGTGAAAGGTATAACCCCAGGAGTCAGGAATATGGGAGAAGAGTAGGGAGATAAGCTGAAATAGGAAGATAAGGCTTCTGCTGAGGGAAGCTCCACTCTTTTATTAAAGAGTGTGTGTGCGTGCGTGTGTGTGGGGGGTAGTTGGCAGGTAGCATGGTGGTTAAGGGCACTGTACTCCCACATGGTCAACCATGGTTCAAGTCCCAGACCTGACAGCTTGCTTTCTCACCGCCCCCTCCCTCCCCAGCCCACTCTGTCCCTCTCTGGTCAAATTAAAATAAAAAAGTTAAATAAAAAATAGTATTTAAAAAAAAGAGTAGGATAATGACATTAAAAAATGACCCTCAAGATCAATGAACTGGATAAATCTTAAATTGCAATGTCCAAGGCCTATTGGTGGAAGGATTCTGGCCACATCTAGGAATGTACTTTGGTCTCTGATGCTGAAACAGCCTATTATGGGGAGATTAATATAGAGAGCTGTTTACCTAGGGTGACTAAAATAGTGACACTGAGAACTGCACAAAAGTCAAACAGATATAATCATAGCAAATAGACTTTCTTAGACCTTCTTAAGTAGATTATATAATTCATAGAGATTTAAAAAAAGAAAATAAAAGAGTGAGGTTTTGGTGTGAAGCTGAAGTCCTGAGAAGACGAGTAGGCACATTTCCTATAGGGAGTTCACCTAGTGTCCACAAGCAGTGATTAAATATATGAATAGATGGACTGAAAATCTCAGAATCCTGAAGATGAGGCAACCAGGGTAGCACCGCTGTACCTGAAGGACCAATACAATGTACAGCATCTCTGTGGAGGCAGCACTGCAGGTCTGAGGCTAGTTGTCACTGGGGTCCTACCTAACATCTGTGAGCACTGACCATATGCTGAGTCCTGGGCTAGGAACCTGAATATTCCTCACCACACCAAATCCCCACCATGTCAAAGTATTACTAGCCCATTTTATGTAATATAAAACTGAACCTAGAAAAGGAAGACACCTTTTGAGTTACAATGCAGATGCCTATTGTCTTTGTAGTTGAAAATGCCCATATGAGATAAAGGCCAATAATGGACCGACAATAAAAGGAAACTGGGATGAGAAACATGTATATTCCTTCTGTCCTCTCTGCCTGCCCCACCTATTTATGCAAAAAACTACAACTAAAAAAATAATAGTAATGAAGGATAAAGAAGAGGGCATGAGAGTTTTCCTTCTAATACTTGATGGAGACTCTTAGAGCTGATCTGATAGCTCTAAACAGTTCCAGGCATCTTGAAGTCATATAAGCTGAACGTAAAAGTCAGATGAGATCCCCAAATAGAACATTCCCTGAAGCCATTACCTTCCGCAGTGATTTCTTTGAAAATTTGTTCCCTTAGAGGTGAGGTCTGATGCCTTGACAGACAGTTTTAACTGAATATTATAGGTGATTCTTTTCTCTAAGCAAAATCTCTGTCAACAATGTATACTTAACATTTTATAAACATTCTATCACCATCTTCCAAAGTATACAGAATTGAACCTATGTAGTTGAATCCACATGTTCTGGCTCATTAACTAACTTTTGAATCTTATAATTTTTATATATGATCATACATGCTTATAAATGATTTTTTTTTTTGAGAGGAGAGCTGATCTGATAGCTCTAAACAGTTCCAGGCATCTTGAAGTCATATAAGCTGAACGTAAAAGTCAGATGAGATCCCCAAATAGAACATTCCCTGAAGCCATTACCTTCCGCAGTGATTTCTTTGAAAATTTGTTCCCTTAGAGGTGAGGTCTGATGCCTTGACAGACAGTTTTAACTGAATATTATAGGTGATTCTTTTCTCTAAGCAAAATCTCTGTCAACAATGTATACTTAACATTTTATAAACATTCTATCACCATCTTCCAAAGTATACAGAATTGAACCTATGTAGTTGAATCCACATGTTCTGGCTCATTAACTAACTTTTGAATCTTATAATTTTTATATATGATCATACATGCTTATAAATGATTTTTTTTTTTGAGAGGTTTTTGCTATAGAGCATGTGCGCTCGCCAGGCAGACAGAAAGAGACAGAGAGACAGAAAGCGAGCAATCACCCCCCAAGGGGGGATGGCCACGCCACAATCCCTTCTCCTCCATTCTCCTCTCGGTATCTTGGGCATGCAAGCACACACGCCTGGCGTGAGTTTTAAGCCACCGGGTCTGGGATTCGAACCACGGTAGACTACGTGGGAGTCCAGCGACATAGCCATTATGCTAACTGCTGGTCCCAGCTTATAAATAATATTTTAATGGTACTCCTGAGATGGAACTTGAATCTTGACCAAGTATTATAGCTAGAACATCAGGGAGAGGGATGAACACAATCAGAGATTTTATTCTACATCCCTGTACGAGGACTTCTGTTAAGCAAAGAATGTGAGGCTGAGAAAAGCATATGAGAGGTCAGAGAAGTCATGGGGTCAAAGACAAGGTAGAATTAGTAAAGTTCTACAAACAGTAGTTGTAAGTTTTGGACATGAGAACCTAGGCTCGTCTAATGTGGAACCTTTTATCTACTTCCTTATGCCTCTGAAATGTGTGAAGAAGAAAATAGTAACCGAATGGACTATGCAAAAAGAAGGCCTAAACATGTGGATACCTACTTAGAGGAAAAATGTTTTTAAAACAACATTATAATTTCTTTTTGAGATTTAAAAATGACAATAGTTTCACAGAATAGAAATAAGCATAACCTAACCAATGGAGTATAAAATGACATGACTCCTTCTCCTTCCCTCTTCAGCAATATGTTTTAACTCCATTTTAATTTTTTTCTAAGTACATTAGTTTGCTAGGGGCGCCATAAAAGGAAACCACAGAATGTGTGATTTAAGAACAGAAATTTATTTTCTCCAGACAGTTCTGCAGACTGTAAGTGTAAGATCAAGCTGTTAGGATTCTCCTGAGACTTCTCTTCTTGACCTGTAGGCCCTACCTTCTGGCCACATCCTCACGTGGCCTTTTTTCTATGCATGTTGTCTCACTCTCTCTTTTCTTGTAAGGATACCAGTCATTGCATTAGGGCTCACTCATGTGATCTCTTTAACCTTAATTACCAATTTAATGACCCTGTTTCCAAATATGGCAACATGCTGTGCTCCTGAAAGTTAAGGACTTCAACCTATGAATCTTATAGAAACACAACTCACCCCATAACAATAGGGTAGACAAGTTCTTGTCTTCATAAATTCTTTTTTCCTCCAATCCCTCACGTATGTAATCATAAACCAAGTCTCTCTCAATGTGTATCAAGTCAAATTTGAGATCCCAAGAGCTTAGACTTTAATAAAAACTGTGGGTTAACTGACTATGCATGTAGCTCATTTTATTTCAGTAAGATTTCCGTCCGGGAACTCAATATTGTTATCAAACTAGTGCGAGTGGTGCATCAACATGCCAGCTGGACACTGTCATTTGTTCATAGTGGTACTGATCAATAAATCCAGAAATATACAATCAGTACAAAAAGCATTGAGCCGTGAACTTACCATGACAAAGACTGCACTTTTTCAAGCTCTCTACCAACCAGAGCTGCTCATAATAGACTCTTTCAGCAGAGATGATAGCAGGCCATGTGAACAGAGGTATCAGGCAAAAAGTCGAGCTAATGCAATTGGGTCAATATTGTGGGCACCATTAAGTCTAATAGATGCAATAAAAGAGGATATAATGTGAATAAAGTAATTAGGATCAGTGTAGACGGAATTCTCAAGAATGAGATTTCCATGACATGCCATGGAGAGCCTCACTACCTACTATGATGGCACTATCAGAATGTTCCAGGGTGATAGTGACAGAGATGATGGAGATATATTGCTTAGAAACATGAAGGGTCTGAGGAAATAGGCCCTTCCAACTTAGATTTCTTGCCAAAATCAATACATATCCCATAAGCATGGATGTAAAATGAGAACTACTCCCTTAACCAAAGCTATGGAAAACTAAGATGCACAAAGATCTATATAGTGGTCAATATGACTTTAAGTCTGTTCTGGAACCAGGCCAGTGCTTTCCTTTTCAGTAATGTGCTCATGCTTACAGACAACTGCAGCATCTTTCTTGTAAGGGAGGATCAGTCCAGGGTGCAGAAATTGTTAGTGGATACCAGGGTAAACATATCACTTCCAGTTAGTTCCACGTCTCACACATTGTAGTTCTGCAAGTGTTAGGAATCATAGAGAAGTTGAATATGTGATCTTCTTTCCCATCATCTTATTTCTGGGCACTTGGACTACAGACTGAGTATCTCAGACAACTGAGTTCTCAGCAGTGATTATAAATCTAATTACCAGCTAGACCACCATGGACAAAAAACTATTCACGTATGGGAAGATTTTGTGGGAACTGTTTGGGGAAGCACAACTAATTGCAACATAAATGTCTCACCAACACAGTATCAGAAAGTCTCTAGATTTCTTATTTATAATGCTGAAGTGACTTAAAAATTACAGTAAACAGACCTTAATATTCCTACTACTCTGAAGATTTTTATTTATCCCATAATGACTCCCTAACTATCCATTTCCATTATTTAAAAAAGAGCCACATAAATATGTATCAGAGAGGAACTTAGTGATGATGATTATACCAGGACAATGAGCCATTAATAAAATTTTGAAAAAATATGAAAGTCCTTGAATCTAACATTTAAGTCCAGCAAGGTATCTCCAGAATTTTGGTCTATCTACTTGAAAAGAAAGGGAAAGCAATGAAGTATGCAAGAAATGAAAACTATGGGTAGGTATTCATGAAAAGTTTTTTAAAGGAGCAATGATAAAAACCCAAAGCTATTTTTAGTGAGGAGCAGAAATGATGTTTACACAACCTGTGACTGACTACAATCCCACAGTCTGAACATCCATTGTCAAGGAAGTGAGTCCACTGTCTTCAGTGAATCCCTTTTCCTTGTCTTGGTGAATTTACCATCAGAAACAATTTCCCAGGCATCTCATTCTTGGCTAGAGAATATCATAACAATAGCAAGTATTTACACTAAAATTACTGAACCAAACACTATGCTAAGTATTTCACTTGAACAATCTTCATTTAATCCTTATAACAACCTCCTGAAGTGGATAATCTCATTGTCTTCATTTAATAAACCAGAAGACTGAGGTTCTGAGAAAGTAAATAACTTGTGCAAATTCACACAGCTAATGGCAAAGGTAGGATTAGAATCCAGATCCTTGTGTGGTTCGGCAGTGCCAAGGAAAGATACATCGATTGTAGACATTAGAAGTAATGGCACATATATAATTCCTACAATATTCATTTATGCAATATTTTTTGACATGGTGAACCTTTCATTTTTATAGACAATGACATCAGTGACTCCCTAAATCAACTGCTCACAAGTTGCATTTAGAACCTTTCAGATGAAAGTCTGTTTGTGTTCATAGCGATAACTGAAATTGAAACAGGTGTGTTCCAAACCTGTTCTAAAAATTATTCTTTATGCATTCATTATCCTCATTGCCCCCCCCTTTTTTTGAGCGAGTCTCACTATGTCATAATTCTCCACCCTCAGCCTTCCTGCTGGAACTGCAGGTGCACAACACCACACCTAGCTGTTTTTTAGACAGGATCTTACTATGTACCCAGATCAGCCTCAAGTCGTGATCCTCTTGCCTGAGCCTCCCCAAGTTGCCAGGATTATAAGTGCATGCCATGATACTTGGCTTTAAGATAGGGCCAGGAATTGAACCCAAGTCTACCATGTGGTCTCAGCCTGCATAGCACAGCATCTTTGTAGCATGCACCACTACAGCTGGGCCTTGTCTTTTCTTCTTTTATTTTTAACTTGGAGACCTAAAAAGATGAGGACAGTGTTCTTAGGGCTGGAATATTTCTCTGGGAATTACTTCTGTTGGAGGACTTCTTTGTAAACCTGGGAGCTAGGAAGGGCTCCAACTCCTAGGCATCGTGTCTCTGGGGCAGAGGGATTGGTTGGAAGATTGCTGCTACACATTGTTTTAGAAAGAATGGGAGAACATGGAATCAGAATAGTGGGAAACTATGGGGACAGAGACTCTTGGGTGCTTCTAGCACAGAAGGGACATTGCTCAGGGCTGCACACTCACTACATGATAGGCCCTGCCTTAGGTTCCAACAGCACCATACAATCCTTGCCTTGGAGAGGCTCTCTGACTGACTGGGATGCAGATAATAAACAGGAGATTGTATGAATAAACATACAATGGGAGAACCTGGTTCAGGGAAGGCTTTTCAGGCAGTTCTACCTAGGCTGGGAACTATGGAATGAGGTTTCTTATTGTAGGAAAGAACCTTTAAGGTCAATGTAAGCAGTTAGGGAGCTTTTTAAAAATACTAGTACACAAGCCCATGCTTAGAGACTCTGATGCAATGGGGCTAGGTATTAGATTTTTTAAAGTTCCCCGAGTGGCTTTAATGTGCAGCCACAGCTGAGAATCTAGACTGGTGGCTCTTAATACTGGCTAAGTTTTAGAGTCACCTGGGGAGCTTTCAGAATCCACTCTGGAGGCTCCCAAAAAGTTTGTTGAAATCTCACAAGACTTCCCAGGGTTGAGAATGGCTGTTAAGTGCAGCACGTGGCTTAGAAACAGAAAACACATCCAATTTTATGGTTGGTGTGTAAGGAGGAGAAGTTACCTACAAAGGAGGGGAAGAGCCTAGAGCATGAGGTTTACTAGTCACATTATGGTGTTTGACTTTCATTTGGTCAATGAGTGGAGAATTTAAGAAAGGAAAATGATGATATAAAATTTGCATTCAAAAGACTGGAAAGCCAAGAGTGTGTTTGGAAATAATTCATAGGCAGAACGATGGAGATTTGGGGTGTTGATTAAGGGCAGACCTACGTTTGTCTTAAATTTATTTTCAGATGGGAGATGGAAAAATCAACTTTTTTTTTTTTTTTTTTTGCTCGTTCTTACTCAAGTGTTCTACAGAAAAACAAACGCATGACTGGTCATTCTCTGCAGGATCCCTCCTTGGGAAAGTGTGGTCAAGGGTGATGAGGGGGCTGTCTGGAAGGCTCCTGAAAGAAGATAATCCACAGCACTCCAGAAGAACCCTGTGACCTCTAAGCAGAGAGTGGGCAACCAGACATCACTCTTTAAATGGGGCAGGGCAAATACTGAGATGTCACAGGAACTAAATTCATTCATTGTTCTTCTAGTGTGTGCTTAACTCAAATGAGTATCCTGTCCCCTTCGGCATTTACTCTTGTAAAATTGGCTCCTGGGTTTTCTTTTTGGGATTGACCAAGGAAGGAGGAGGAGATGGGAGAGGATGCTCACAGCACTCTTGTCTTTTCCTGGCGATTGCTCATGCTGGGAAAATGGCCCCGAGCCTTTCATGATTCAGAAGTTTGAGAAAGGACTAGGCGGCTGCTCCTGGGAAAATGATGACTTGTCATCACTCAGCAAACATATCCTAAGAACAGAGCGTGAGGAACACCTGCACACATCCTGTATGCATCCTTCCTGCAGGAGCTGCCCCGCAGCCAGCTGCTGAAATCAGCATCAATCGACTCAAGAGGCAGTGCGGGTGCTCACCCTCCCTTAAGTTACAGCTGAGAAATGTCAAAGCTGCTTGACACCAACACTGCTTGACACAATGCATTGTACCATTCACAAATCAACTCTTCCCCTGGACCCAGCTTTAACTAAAAGACTTCTCCCTGTTCAGTCATCCCCGACATTGGTTATTGGTTCATGGGTTATTTGATGACCATCTGCTGTGGTTCAGGCAATGGGATCCAGTGGTGAACATGACATGCTCTCAGAGTGTTTGTTTAGTTGGGTGAGTCAGTAAAGAAATAAGGAAAGTAAGTAATTGAAATACATACAAAGTGGTAAGCGCAATAAAGACAAATAGGAGAAGGGGGAAGTGATAGTGATTTGGGTGAGGAGAGGAAAACTGGGTAGTCAAGGAAGGCTTCTCTGATGAAGGCCATTTGAACTAGGAAAGGACCAACAAGAAAGAGACAATTATGCCAAGAACTGGGGAAAGTGCATTCAGAGAAGAAGGAATGGCATGTGCAAAGGCATGAAGATGGGAACAAATTGACAAGTGTGCCCCTGCTATTTTCTGTCCTCTGAAAATTCCCCATGATGGTCAAGTGTCCAAATCACAGAGGGGTAGGTACTGATTCCCTATACCTTGGGGGTCTTAATTGAAATGTGGAGGCGTGGATGTCAACCTATTTATCCACTTGCTTCTCCCTTACCACTCTTTGGCCCTTCCTGTAAATAAAGCGCTGGCCAGCCACTTCCCACGTGTTGGCCGGTCAGGACACGCCTGCTCATGCTCGAGTTCTCAAAGGGAATGCAACATGCTCTGCTTGCCTCTATAAACAAAACTAACTAAATTCACTTTCAGTGTGAGATGAATGAAGGGAAATAACCTACTTAATTATCTGTATGTTTTGTTGTGGCCAATGAGTTTAATCACTTAATAAAGTAGAAAGCTTTGTGGGGATTATAGTTATATAAAAGCCTGGAGAAAAAATACATATATAGCTAGAGAGGTATATACATTGGAATGATACCAAGTCTCCTCCATGATACTGCATTTATTCACATAGTGCTTTTTAGTCTAGAAAGTGCTGTCTTGCATAGTATGTCATTTGCGTATCACCATAAGCTCTGGGCCATGGTAGGGGCAATTTGCATATGTTGTGTTATTGATATTCCTGCTTCC